GGGGGGGAGCGGGGAGGGGCAGCAGAGGAAGTCCAGGTTAGAGAGCGGAGCCCCGGAGGCGCTGGACAGCTGTGAGGCCATTGGCTTTCATTCTAATTCACTGCAAGTTCCCCGGCTGCTTTGTGGGGAATCAATTCTGGGGGGCAAGTTACTCAGTGGAAAGACTGATACAGAAGCCCCTTCCAGCCATGCTGGCAGGAAACGACGGTGGCGGGAAAGGTGGAAGGAGTGTGAGGTCCGGACCTGACTGTTGAAGGGGAGCCACTTTCCCAAAGACAGGATGTGGGTGGGGGGGGGGACCAGGTAGGCTCTCACCTGGGCAGCTGGAAGGAGTGCTGGGGCCTGGCTGTGGGTGGACCAGGAATCCCCTAGAAACGCCATGAGCCGTCCTGCAGGGCGTCCATCAGCATCTAGAGGGGAGGAGAGGAAAGAAGGGCTGAGGTCAGGGGCCGAGAGGGGACAGCCAAGGCGACTGAGTGTCCAGGGGGGCGGACGCCACGGGGGAGGGTCTGGGGAAGGCAGTGGTCGAGCGCACTGAATGCTGTCGGGACCTTCCCTAAGAGGAAGCCTAGGAACGGATAGTCACAGAAATTGCTTTTAAATTTTAAATTATTTAACATACATAAAGGGGCCTCCTCCAAACACAGCCAGACCCCAGAACCATCCGCCTGCAAAACCTAACCAGTAGTCCACGTGTAGAAACCAGTTCAAAGGCCCAGTAACAACATCCAAAGAGGGAAAGACAGTACTTTCACTCCATGATCTTCTTAAAAGTGACGTCCGGCCAGAGAAGTACAGTAACCAGCAACGCTCCTCCTATGCCTTCGAAACAAAGTCTTAGGGAAGAAGGTGAGCGGACAAGATTCTGAGACTTTCCACCAACAAACCTACATTTGAAAAGAAACAACCAATGGGCAATTTAGGGAAAATATATAGGAAGGGCCTCTGGGGTCAAAGTTCTGCCCGTCCCCGGGCCCTGAGCCGAGGAGCCCGGGGAAGGGCAGAGAGAGGCGGCTGTCCAGGGCGACTGCCCCACTCGTCTCGGGCGGGAATCGCAGCAGGAAGGTGGGCAGGGGCAGCGGGCCCAGCAGGGGAGGCCGGCACACATGCAAACCCCCGGAAGGGAGGCCCGGTCCTAGCAGAGGCTGAGGGTACACGCAGGAGAAGAGGCCCTGCTGAGAACTTGCTCGAACTAGGATAGGCTGTGACTCTAGGCTCTTAACAAAATACACAAAACCAGGATCAGATTTCAGCTCCAATAACCACCTTTGCCCCCAGGTACACCTTCCAGCAGCCGCAGAGCAGGGAGGGTACAGAACCCAATGCTCAGAGGGAAGCTTCACTTTATGTCTAGGCACATGGGCGATTCAGAGACACCTGCCCCCACTACGTGAGGGAGAGAGAGAGACGGAGAGAGGGAGAGAGGGAGAGAGAGGGAGAGAGGGAGGGAGAGAGAGAG